TGAAGTCGACCCCCCACGACGTCGGGAGTCCAGTAGAGATCTGACGGCTAGATGTCTTCCGGAAGGCCATAATGCCAGAATACCTACTGGAATAGTGCCTTAGCAACCTGGAGAGCAGTAGTGAGACCAGAAAGAGGGATTAAATGACAGGATTTTGAAAATCTATCCATAACCACCAAAATGGTGGTGAACCCGTCAGAGGAGGGGAGATAAGTAACAAAGTCAATGGATAGATGAGACCAGGGATGCTGAGGCACGGGAAGGGGAAGGAGTTTCCCTGCTGGAGCATTCTGGGGGGATTTAGTTTGGGCACATACGTAGCGAATGACAACAGGAGTTGACGTAGCGAATGACATCCTGCGCCAAGATGGGCCACCAGTACTTCTCAGAGATGGATTGGGTAGTGTGAGAAATACCTGGATGTCCAGCGACGACAGCTGTGTGTGCCCAGGTCAGCAGCCAATCCCTTATCCCCGTGGGAATGTAGATGCGCTCAGGAGGAACGTTAGTGGGAGCGGGCTCCCTCTCCAGAGCCTGGCGAATGTCCACATCTATGTCCCAGTCCACAGGAGCTGCGACTCGGGAGGATGAGATTATAGGTGCATTTAGGACAGGACCCTCTCCCGAATCGTAGAGACGGGACAGAGCATCGGCCTTGATGTTCTTTAAACCTGGGCGATAGGTCAGCGTGAAGATGAACCTTGTGAAGAAAAGGGCACGGATTCAGCCTCCTCGCTTTCCGTATGTACTCCAGGTTCCGATGGTCGGTGAGGATGACAAATGGTTCCTTGGCACCCTCTAGCTAGTGTCTCCACTCCTCCAATACCAACTTCACCGCCAGGAGCTCTCGATCAACGACGTCGTAATTCCTCTCTGCAGGGGACAGTTTCTCAAGTAATATGCACAAGGATACAATTTCTGTGGATTACCCTGTCGTTGAGACAGAACTGCCCCCACGCCCACCTCTGAAGCGTCCACCCCCACCACAAAGGATATCGTGGGATCTGGGTGTTTGAGCAATGGGGCAGAGGTGAAACGTCCCTTGAGTAGACGGAAGGCCTCGTTGGCTGCTGGGCTCCACACCAACCTACGGGGACCACCTTTGAGGAGAGAGGTGAGGGGGCGGCGACAGAGCTGAAGTTCCTGATGAACCGGTGGTAGAAGTTGGCAAACCCCAAAATCCATTGTAACCCCTTTATGGTGGTTGGGACTGGCCATGACCTGACCGCATCTACCTTCTTGTTGTCCATCCTCACATCCCTGCGGGCTGATTTGGTAGCCTAAGAAGGAGACAGCCTTCTGATGAAATCGGCACTTCTCAGCCTTGACGAACAGGTGGTTAGCCAGGAGGCGTTCCAGGACTGCTCAAACGTGATTGATGTGATCCTCCAAGGTAGCCTAGTAGACCAGGATGTCATCGATATACACGACCACCTGGTGTACGAGCATGTCCCTGAACACCTTGTTAACGAATGCCTGGAACACTGACGGAGCATTGGCTAAACCAAAAGGCATCACCAAGTACTCGTAGTGACCAGACATCGTGCTAAATGCAGTCTTCCACTCATCCCCCTCCCAGATGCGGATGAGATTGTATGCACTCCGCAGGTCCAGTTTGGTAAAGAACCGGGCCCCGCGGAGCTGTTCGATTTCTTCCGGCACCAACGGGAGAAGGTAACGGTACTTCGTGGTAATTTCATTGAGTCCTCTGTAATCAATACATGGACGTAACACTCCATCCTTCTTGGCCACGAAGAAGAAACCAGCCGACGCAGGAGAAGTGGACGTGCGGATGAAACCTTGTTGGAGCGCCTCTTGGATGTAATCCTCCATGGCCTGGGTCTCAGCCACCGACAGAGGGTAGATGTGTCTGCGCTGAGGCGCAGACCCTACCAGCAGGTTGATGGCACAGTCCCAGGGGCGATGAGGAGGAAGACAGGTGGCGCAGGTCTTGGAGAATACCTTCCGTAGGTCCTGGTATACCTCCGGGATGTTGGGCTGAAGGGCAACCATAGGACTCTCAACCGACGTGGAACCACAGGGGATGGGGAAGCAAGTCCTCCGGCATTCGGGTGACCAGTCTGTGATTCTAATCCTCTACCATGAGATGGTGGGGTTATGGCGTTGAAGCCAAGGGAGGCCGAGGATGATCTTGTGACCTGGTGCACTGGTGATGAAGAAGGGTATGTTCTCCTGATGAATGGACTCCACGGTGAGGGTAGGTGGTTGGGTGATGTGTGTGATGGTTCCGGCTCCTAGTGGCCGATTATCGAGGGCTTGAACCGGGAAAGGAGAGGAGAGCGGGTATGAGATGATGTTAAGAGAGGAGGCAAGGGACCCCGCGGCACCGGAATCCACTAATGCGGTAGACACAGTACATGAGGGACAGTCAACTGGTGTGATGGACACCAAAAAGAGTTTAGCAGAAAGGGATGAAGACGGAATACTCACTCCTGCCCAAGGAGGTGGAAGATCACGTGACCGTCCCTCTGCTCTTGTGGATCCCGGATTAGAAAGTGCTGGACACCGCTGGAGCTGGTGCCCTCCTTGACCACAATACAGACAGAGCCCCAGCTGTCTCTGTCTGCGTCGTTCCGCCGGGGGGAGGCGTGTGACACCTACCTCCATGGGTTCAGGCTCTGATCCAGAGTGTTCACTGAGGGAGGGAGAGAAGTGATGAGAGTACCGACGCTCCCGAAGTAGGTTATCCAGACGGATGGCCATCGCAATGAGTGCGTCCAAGGAGAGGTTGTCGTCTCGACAGGCCAATTCCGTCTGCACCTCCTCGCGCAGACCTCTTCTGAATAGCGTACGAAACGCTGACTCGTTCCAGCCGCTGGATGCTGCTACTGGATACTGCTACTGGATGCTGCTACTGTGAGCGCGTACTCGGCAGCCGTCTGGTCCCCCTGCCGTAATTGGAGTAAGCGCTGACCCCCTCTCTGCCCTCCGGGGGATGATTGAAGATGCATTTGAACAGAGCCATGAACCCCTCATATGAATCTAGCTCCTCCTCTCCTCTCTCCCAGAAGGTCGTGGCCCATTCCAACGCCCGCCCAGTCAACAGAGAAATAACCGTGGCAACCTTGGACCTCTCGGTGGTGGGAGCTCCCATTTGGTCCGTAAAGTAGAGGGAGCACTGAAGTAGGAAGCCACGGCATTTAGATGGTGTGCCGTCATATTTATCCAGGAGGGACAAACGGGCATCGCTGACCTGAGCGGGTTGTTGAATGGGCTGTTGTCCTGGCTCGCTGGGTCGACTGGCTGTAGAGTATCCTCCGCTAGTTGACGGCAATGCCTCCCGGGTATGTTTGAGACGTTGCACACTGCGAATAACCTTTCCCATAGCCGTCCCCAGTTGTGCCAGCTGGTCATGGTGCTGCTCGTCGACCGTTTGGGAGAAAAATATTTTTCCTGCTGCTTCCATTGTTGGAGTCAGTATTCTGTAACGAAGACGCTGTGAGTCGAGAAGCAGGTGCAGGTGAAACGTTTAATAAAACAACAAACATGGAACGAGACAACATAACAGTAGTGTCTATGCATAACCATAGGAACAATACTGACTGGGGAAAGAACCTAAGGGAGTGCCAGATATAGGGGAGGTAATAAGTGAGTTAATGGAGTCCAGGTGTGCCTCATGATGACGTGCAGGTGCGCGTAATGATGAATGCCAGGTGTGCGTAATGATGGATCCCAGCACCGGTGGTTAGTATACCGGCGACATCGAACAACGGAGGGGAGGAGCGGGAGTAGACGTGACACACACACATGTAAGCATGCTCACCCAGACAAGCACATACTCTCACACATGCAGGCACATACACACTCGCACCTGCCTTTATAATTAGATAATTATGCTTCATTAAGATAATCCCAAGAGCGTGTTTCTCTGTAAGTGTGATGATGCTTTGCCTTTGCCTTGGGCAGAGCTAAGAGGGAACAAAACCAGCATCACAAAAGGTGGCCTCAAGTCACTTACGGTCTCAGGCATCTCTCAAGTTATGGCTCGGCACAGGCTTAATGGAAAGTAGCAGTTGCGAGCGAGAGAGATAGTGTGTACCTCTGAGGCTTCATGTCCGGAGGCTGGCAGGTTGAAGGCTCCTCGTGTGGCTGGGGTCCTGGATTAGCAGTTTGCTCACAATCATGCTACATACCACATCTACACACATTGCATATACAAGCAGCTTACTGGTATATAGCCTAAGTGCCAGTGAGAAGGACTCTATTCAATAAAACTCTATTCTCAATTCTTCAGATTGCTTTAATTTTTAATTTAAAAATATCATCCAAGCATTTACAGAGTAGTAAAACAAATCAATCTATGCAACTGTTAACAGCTTTTACAGAAAATGAAGAAATATATCAATTTTTATTCATAGATTTATAAAAACAAGGAACGAAAAAAGAGAGAGTGAGAGAGGCCAGAGGGGTGGGAGGTTGAAAATGTTCAGCAGACCCTGATAACCTCCCTGGGTAGTATTCCTAGCTGAGTGACAGCAGAGTTAACAAATTAGATGCTCTGGGAATGGTCTGGTCTGCCCATGTGAAGGACAAACAGCCAATGCCCTGGCACCTTAGAACTGATACTCCTTTGGGACTCCCAGTATGGTGTTCGATCCCATGAGGCTTTGCAAAGTCAGTCCCAGAGCAGAGCATCGTGGCTTTGGAGGTGTTGTCTAGCTCTCCATCACCCTGGAGACGAGTCACCCTCTCTGTCACCCATACAGAGAGGCTGTTTCCTCAGTGTCACAGCCTGCTCTGCAGCATGAGCTCTATGTTGTTACTTCTGTGTCCTAGTAATACAGCCACTTATTTGTGCCTGGGACCAGCAAACTGTTTACATTATAACTAGCTCTTAAGAACTGACTAAATCAAGGCCAATTAACCATCGCAGGGACCGGTGAGCAAACATCCCAGGTACCAGTACCGGTCTGCATAATACAGTGTCCTCATAGTTCAGCCTGAGCTCTATGCTGTTTCCTCTGTGTCCCTGTAATGCTCTATGTGGTCTTGATGCCCTCGAAGCCACAGAACTTCCAGCGTTTCTCCAGGCTGGCACCCACCCCTGTCAGCTCCTGTCTGAAGGTACAGGGCAGCCGACCCAGGAGAGCATCCACCTCCCCTGTGTTTATCTGAAACACAGACACACTCAATGTAAATACACAGATTTGATACATACACTCCCACATGTACAAACACAATACAAACTTAACACACAGATTTGACACACACTCCTACAGACTCAAAGAGCCCCACATCTCCGAGAAACTGATCTAAGTGACAAACAATAAACGCACACACACACACAATACACATCACAAACCCACACCTACATATGCAATAGCACAACATTAGCATATAGCATCACTTTAAAAAGGTGAGATTACACAAAACAATGACAGTAGGAAGCACTGTATAATTTTATGCAGAGAAAAAGCACATTTGTAAGAACCAGATGGGTAAACCTGTCAGTATGTATTAAGGACTAACGTGGAGATGTCAATGGTGTATCATCATTAACAATGTAGCAGTGCATCATGAACATAGTAGATAAGTAGAGAGTAATGTTGTTAGTGGTGAATCCAGCAAGGACTGTTGACAAAGCCCTGTGGGCTTGTTGTGTGGTGTTACAGAGAGGTAGCGTGGGAACAAAAACATCCACAGACAGAGAGGAAAAGCCAAAAGGAGAGAGAAGGAATGAGTCAGTGTGGTGATGAGCACAGAGAGGTTTTAATGAGCTGGCGGGGGGAGTGGTCATACAATATATACATGAGGGCCTCCTCATGGAGGTAGCACTAAGAGTAGTCATGTCTGAAGGCCTCCTGGTGGAGGTGGGCTGGTGGTCCCTTAGTCCTTTGTCTGAGGGCCTCCTCATGGAGGTAGCACTAAGAGTAGTCATGTCTGAAGGCCTCCTGGTGGAGGTGGGCTGGTGGTCCCTTAGTCCTTTGTCTGAGGGCCTCATCATGGAGGTAGAGTGAGAGTGGACATATATTATATCTGAAGGCCTTGCGGCGGTGGCAGTGAGCATAGCGGTCATATACACAGTGTACAAATCATGCTTTTGTCCAGCCTGGTTTAGGCAAGACATGGCTACTATGCCCCCCTGGGTTGGCACCTTACAGGGATGCTGGCCCATGTTGACTCCAATGCTTCCCACAGTTGTGTCAAGTTGTCTGGATGTCCTTTGGGTGGTGGACCATTCTTGATACACACGGGAAACTGCTGAGAGTGAAAAACCCAGCAGCGTTGCAGTTCTTGACACACTCAAACCGGTGCTCCTGGCACCTACTACCATACCCTGTTCAAAGGCACTTAAATCTTTTGTCTCGCCCATTCACCCTCTGAATGGCACACATGCACAATCCATGTCTCAATTGTCTCAAGGTTTAAAAATCCTTCTTTAACCGGTCTCCTCTCCTTCATCTACACTGATTGAACTGGATTTAACAAATTACATCAATAAGGGATCCTAGCTTTTACCTGGTCAGTCTATGTCATGGAATGTTTTGTACACTCAGTGTATATGTGGTTGAGAGAAAGGAAGAGAATCTGTCTGGCAGATGAGAGCAGAGGTGAGAACCAAGGAAGGCCCCTGAGGAGGCCAACATGTGGAGACGGGTGTTTAAGCGAAGTGTCAGAATAAATGAAACTGCTCAGCTCTGTCAGGGAGAGACAGGAATGATCCAGATCTAACAGGTCTCAGTGTCCAGGGAAATTACACTCAGACACTTCCTCAAGAGCACTGGGAGATACAAGGAAATATCCTATATTCATGTCTAAGATAGCTACAGAGAGTGGAGGCAGTGGGACTTGCCTTTGCTTCAACCCAAACCTGAGGATCAGCATCACGAGAGGGGCCTGCCTACACCAGGGGGATCAAATTAGATGAGAAGGATCTGGCTGCATGAGGAAACTCTTGCTGCAAGATGGGGCTCTGCTGTCACAAGGGGATGATTCAAATTGCATTGGGGAGGCTGACTGCACAAGGGTGCTCCAACTGCACTGTGTGGCCCTGGCATACATCAGGTCCATACTGTATGCCAGTCCAGTAAGGGTGTTTATTCCAAGTTTGTGCTCGGTGTGTGTGTGTGGTGCCAGGATGGCTGTATTGCTAAACTGGCTGTGTTGTGTTTCTGTGTGTGTGTGTGTGTGTTGGAATAGTGCGCCAGGATGGCTCCTGCTGCTCATCATGCGTGTGTGTCAGTAGCAAGATTTTCCTGCGAATATTCAAAAATCAGCATTAAAAATATGCGCATTTTCCCACCAGAGATGTGTTTCCATCAAACGGACTTTTTGCGGATAAAAGGCTGTGCATTATGATGACGTCGTGCACATAAAGAAAACTTTTGTTGGGCTGGCTACATCAATAAGTGCATCGATGACGTTGTTCCCACAGTGACCGTACGTACATACCCCAACCAGAAGCCATGGATTACAGGCAACATCCACACTGAGCTAAAGGGTAGAGCTGCCACTTTCAAGGAGCAGAACTCTAACCCGGACGCTTATAAGAAATCCCGCAATGCCCTCCGACGAACCATCAAACAGGCAAAGCGTCAATACAGGACTAAGATTGAATCGCACTACACCGGCTCCGATGCTCATCGGATGTGTCCACATCACCAACAAACTATCATGGTCCAAACACACCAAGACAGTCGTGAAGAGGGCACGACAAAGCTTATTCCCCCTCAGGAGTCATAGACTGTTCTTTCTGCTACCGCATGGCAAGCGGTACCGGAGCGCCAAGTCTAGGTCCAAAAGGCTTCTTAACAGCTTCTACCCTCAAGCCATAAGACTCCTGAACAGGTAATCAAATGGCTACCCGGACTATTTGCATTGTGACCCCCCCCCCACCCCACCCCCCCACCCCCTATTTTACGCTGCTGCTACTCTCTGTTTACTATCAATGCATAGTCACTTTAACTATACCTACATGTACATATTACCGCAATTACCTCGACTAACCGGTGCCCCCGCACATTGACTCTGTACCAGTACCCCGTTTTTGTCACAAAAACTGTTACGTAATATAGGACATGTGCCCACTCTGGTCTTGGCACGTGTGCTCTAGCCAACAGCTCGCAGATGCAGAGCGGGTATGCTACCTACACGATAAGATTATTATGGATAAGAGCGAGATCATTTGTACTTGTCAAACGGCAGCCAAGCATCGATCATCATGTCACCAGAATAAGACCCTTGATATTTATTGGAAAGGAGCATTAAGCTCATCACCGTGCACTTTCACCACCCTGTGAAGTTCATCATAACTTATTTCATCTGTAGCCTAATAAACTGCATGCTTTCTCGAGTCATAGTAGGAGGACCATACAACATGTCATTGCATCACTCCAAGTTTACTTCCATACGATGGTTATTATATCAATATCTGCACATAAAGGTGCTTCCACCGCCATTCCTCGCATAATACATTTTACCAACACAAAAAGATCCCACCACGTCGAACTAACAAATTGTCCGTCGACATTTATACAATTGTACCGGCATTTCCTGTTTCAGCCCAGGCGTGACTTTTTTCATGAGTCAGGTAATTCACCCGCATGAAATGGTTGGATGGAAACCTGGCTAGTGTCAGTGTGTGTGTGTCAGTGTCAGTGTGTGTGTGTCAGTGTCAGTGTGTGTGTGTCAGTGTCAGTGTGTGTGTGTCAGTGTCAGTGTGTGTGTGTCAGTGTCAGTGTGTGCCAGCAGTACCTTGGTGTTCAGCCGCTGAAGGTAGGAGCAGATGTACTCGATGCTGGCTCCAAACGGGTGCACATGGAGGAACGTAGAGATGATCCCTGAGGAAGGAGAAAGAGATACCTCAATACAGCTGTCAATCAAACTGGCGTTAGCATTACTCTATACCTATAACTCTATAACCATTATACATAATGGTTGATTCACCCATCTTATCATGCAGTAGTATAGGCTATTACTTTAGAACTATAACGCAAACACTAATGTTATACTACAGTATCATTCCATTCAGCCTGAGTGTTGATATACCCATCTGTCCAACATGAAAGCCAATGAGAACATGCCATCCATTGTATCAAACTGTAGACCATTAACGTATAGCTAATCTATAGCTAACTAACAACATTAAGTTTGAGTGTTGATTCATTCACCCATCTGTCCAACATGAAAGCAGGCGAGAACATCACATTCAAGAGACCACTCTACTAAACTCATCTTGTCTGACTGAAGTGAAAATGTATCTGGACACTTTAAGTGTGCCTGACTTCTCCAAAACACTCCCAGCTCTGTGGAAGACTCTTGTTTGAACCGTCTAGATTAAGAGAAGTGTTTAATGAAGACATTGATGCTGCTCTCCGCATTAAAGCTTCTCTGATCAGAGCAGCATGGGGCTTCACGCACACACACACGCACACACACACACACACACACACACACACACACACACACACACACACACACACACACGCACGCACGCACGCACGCACGCACGCACGCACGCACGCACGCACGCACACACACGCACGCACACGCACACACGCACGCACGCACGCACGCACACACACACACACACACACGCACACACACACACACACACACACGCACGCACGCACGCACGCACGCACGCACGCACACACACACACGCACACGCACACACGCACACACACACGACAGGGTTTCGTTCATCCGAACAATAACATCTGCTATCAGCTAATTGATATGATCATGCACTACTGATAGTCCTAAACCCCTGTGTAATAACATCTTATAGCCCACTGAGGAGCCAGCTCAGAAAACAAACACACCACGTGAGACACTGGAGGAAAACTCAACTCTTTGATCAGAAGCCATTAAAACAGTGTGTTTTAATGGCTGGGCTTGGGCCAATGATATACAGAAAAGCATAACTTAAAATCAGTCTATATATTTTGATTGGGTACAAAAACCTCCAAATGTCCAAATCAATTCTAGCAAATCAATCAGCACTTTATGTTTAGTTGTATTTGCTCTGTTCCAAAGCCTAGTTATCTATAGTTCATATTGATGCTAATCGACAATGCTAACTTCATAGTTGATGGAGTCAACTGTTTAATTTTCTAACTGAATGTGCAATTATAGCCTAGCCTAGATATTGAGCCACTCTTCGAGAAAGTTCAATAGAAAGTGCTTTGTTATTATCAAACATCAAGTCTTGAAAAAGGCAGAGCATCTGTTCTTTCCTTCCCTGTGTCTTTGTTTTGAATCAGTTTCTAGATCAGAGATTAGTCCATTTTCTCTTCTTTTTAAAGACAATGTTTTGCAAAACACGTCATTCTTGCTGTATTTCTGCCTGCTTGAACGCCCAATAGCTCAGATACACATAAAAACATGAAATGACCCCGGAAATCGATAGAACATTGCCCAGAGGTGCACCGTTACGATATACAGTTGAAGTCTGAAGTTTATATACACTTAGGTTGGAGTCATTAAAACTTATTTTTCAACCACTCCACAAATTTCTTGTTAACAAACTATAGTTTTGGCAAGTCGGTTAGGACATCTACTTTGTGCATGACACAAGTAATTTTTCCAACAATTGTTTACAGACAGATTATTTCACTTATAATTCACTGTATCACAATTCCAGTGGGTCAGAAGTTTACATACACTAAGTTGACTGTGCCTTTAAACAGCTTGGAAAATTCCAGAAAATAATGTCATGGCTTTAGAAGCTTCTGATAGGCTAATTGACATCATTTGAGTCAATTGGAGGTGTACCTGTGGATGTATTTCAAGGCCTACCTTCAAACTCAGTGCCTCATGGGGAAATCATCATGGGAAAATCAAAACAAATCAGCCAAGACCTCAGAAAGAAAATTGTAGACCTCCACAAGTCTGGTTTATCCTTGGGAGCAATTTCCAAACGCCTGAAGGTACCACGTTCATCTGTACAAACAATAGTATGCAAGTATAAACACCATGGGACCACGCAGCCGTCATACTGTTCAGGAAGGAGACGCGTTCTGTCTCCTAGAGATGAACGTACTTTGGTGCGAAAAGTGCAAATCAATCCCAGAACAGCAGCAAAGGACCTTGTGAAGATGCTGGAGGAAACAGGTACAAAAGTATCTATATCTACAGTAAAACGAGTCCTATATCGACATAACCTGACAGGCCGCTCAGCAAGGAAGAAGCCACTGCTCCAAAACCACCATAAAAAAGCCAGACTACAGTTTGCAACTGCACATGGGGACAAAGATCGTACTTTTTGGAAAAATGTCCTCTGGTCTGATGAAACAAAAATAGAACTGTTTGGCCATAATGACCATCGTTATGTTTGGAGGAAAAAGGGGGTGGCTTGCAAGCCGAAGAACACCATCCCAACCGTGAAGCACGGGGGTGGCAGCATCATGCTGTGGGGAGTGCTTTGCTGCAGGAGGGACTGGTGCACTTCACAAAATAGATGGAATCATGAGGAAGGAAAATTATGTGGATATATTGAAGCAACATCTCAAGACATCAGTCAGGAAGTTAAAGCTTGGTCGCAAATGGGTCTTCCAAATGGACAATGACCCCAAGCATACTTCCAAAGTTGTGGCAAAATGGCTTAAGGACAACAAAGTCAAGGTATTGGAGTGGTCATCACAAAGCCCTGACCTCAATCCTATAGAACATTTGTGGGCAGAACTGAAAAAGTGTGTACGAGCAAGGAGGCCTACAAACCTGACTCAGTTACACCAGCTCTGTCAGGAGGAATGGGCCAAAATTCACCCAATTTATTGTGGGAAGCTTGTGGAAGGCTACCCGAAACGTTTGACCCAAGTTAAACAATTTAAAGGCAATGCTACCAAATACTAATTGAAGGTATGTAAACTTCTGACCCACTGGGAATGTGATGAAAGAAACAAAAGCTGAAATAAATCATTCTCTCTGCTATTATTCTGACATTTCACATTCTTAAAATAAAGTGGTGATCCTAACTGATCTAAGATAGGGCATTTTTACTAGGATTAAATGTCAGGAATTGTGAAAAACTGAGTTTAAATGTATTTGGCTAAGGTGCATGTAAACTTCCGACTTCAACTGTATAACATTCAAAATAAATGTGTGAATCTTTCCTTTAAGTGTTAATCTCATTGGTATTCATCTTGCCCTCTAGAAGGAGAGACAATGCAGTTGAAGGTGAGTTCACTTTTGAGCCAATGTCCTTTTTTCCCTGCGGTGCTCACTTAATCTTCAAACAAGACATCATTTAGAGCGATTCTGACAGAGAGAACACCCAGAATCCTCAGCAGCCATCTACCTCACTGAGCAGCCAGAGTGGGACGGCATAGAGGGAGGGAGTGCCTCATTGACTACCTAACCAACTGTGCCAAATATATGATAATTCTAGAGTAACCCCACTGTACAGGCACTGTGGGACAGGACAGAAAACTCCCACTACCACAAAATAGTATGCATCCTGCCATCTGGCATAGGCCTAATCGTAACTCCACAATTCCTTTCCCTTGTATCTCAGCAAGACCTCACTTTCATAAAACCAATTTGATCCAGGACCAACCGTTCCCCTTGGAAAGTACCCTCCACTGAAATGGAGAATGTGCCATAAGGCTATGCTGATCAGAAAGTAGAGGTGCTGAAGGCCTCAGTCAACTAGCCCAGAGAACTGGGAATAACCAGGGGAGGAAAACCAGGCTTTCCACAAATAACCAGCTTTGATGATTGAGGATAGTTTCTCTAAAAATAACCAGTTAAATTAACAAAAAGTGTATGAACATGCAGGGCCTCTTTCCCTGAGTGGATAGCGCTAGGGGAATGTTCTCCTCTGTATGTACAAATGTTGTTATAAGGTTGCAGTAATGTTGTCTGAACGTACCAACAAGCAGGGCTTCTTCCTCAGAGTTGACCGGACTTGGGAGAATCTTCTCTTCTATACTTATGTTAGGTTAACCTAACGTTATAATAATGCTATAGTAATGTTATAATGTAGGCCTAGTGACGTTATAGTTATGTTAGGTGAACGTGTCAAGTAGCAGGGCCTCTCTGAGTGGACAGGAATTGGGGGAATCTTCTCCTCTATAGCTAAGTTAATATAACAATATAGTAATGTTGTTAGGTGAACATACCAACTAGCAAGGCCTCTCTCTCAGAGTGAACAGGACTGGAGGGACTCTTCTCTGGGGGCAGACTCTCCTTCTCCTGACTGCAGGACACCACTTCTAACGCTGTTGCCTCCTACAGGAGAGGAGGAGAAAACACTGTTAGACTGGTAGATGACACACAAACACACACTGTGACGAATCTGGCTGTTGCTTGTCACAATAAAAAGGTTTAAAATATGACTGGAACAGATATCCTCAAAATCTTGAGTTTTATTATTTGGTCTAAAAATGTGCGAACACTCCTTATTCATCCTTGTATTCTCCCAGAGAGGAAAAGGCGAAGGGAGAGGGATAAGTAGGCCCAAAATCTTTCTTCTCCAGCAGGTGGCATTTTTTCATTTTCTTCCGCTCACCAAGCTTTTTATTTTCTTACCCTTATTTTACCAGATGAATTGACAGAACACCTTCTCATTTACAACAACGACCTGGGGAATAGTTCAATGGGAGAGGAGATGAATGAGCCAATTGGAAGCTGGGGATGATGAGGTGGCCATGATGGTATGAGGGCTAGATTAGGAGTTTAGCCAGGACACCGGGGTTAAAACCCCTACTCTTACGATAAGTGCCATGGGATCTTTAGTGACCACAGAGAGTAAGGACACCCGTTTAACGTCCCATCCGAAAGACTGCCCTGGGGCATTGGGATATTTTTTTAGACCAGAGGAAAGAGGGCCTCCAACACCACTTCCAGTAGCAACTGGTCTTCCATCCAGGGACCGAGCAGGACCAACCCTGCTTAGCTTCAGAGACAAGCCAGCAGTGGGATGCAGGGTGGTATGATGCTGGAGGTAAAAAAAAGAAAGAGAGTGTGTCGAATTTGGTTAACAAAAAATGTAATGGCTTATTTGCTACGTGTGGCTTATTTGATAGAATAAAAGTTTCGTAATGATTAGGTTTTTACGAGTGTACTGATATAAGTAGGACATGTGACATCCCGGCAACTTTGAGAAAAAACACTTAATATCGGAGTTGTGCCTGGTCGTCACTAGTTGCCACAGTCATAAGCACCACCTGTTTCTACAATTTCAATAATTCAAATGTGATTTACCACACTGCTAACTGTAACCCTAACCTCCCGAGTGGCGCAGCGGTCTAAGGCACTGCATCGCAGCGCTAGCTGTGCCACTAGAGATCCTGGTTCGAATCCAGGCTCTGTCATAGCCGGACGCGACCGGGAGACAAATGGGGCGGCGCACAATTAAACCAACGTTGTCCAGGGTAGGGGAGGGAAAGGCCGGCAGGGATGTAGCTCAGTTGGTAGAGCATGGCGTTTGCAACGCCAGGGTTGTGGGTTTGATTCCCACGGGGATATAAAAAATAATGTATGCACTCACTAACTGTAAGCCGCTTAGGATAAGAGCGTCTGCTAAAATGTAATTATGACTAAAAAGCTAATTTTTGTTTTCATGATTTTTTTACGAAATAGACAATTTTGACTTTGTGGCTGTGTCACACGCGTATCTGCCCTCTCATTGGCTATAATGGTCCCACCTGATCTTTGAGCCATTTATGTGTTGTAGGCCTAAGGTTAGTTTTCTTGTGATGTCACTTCTTGACACTGGGGGGAAGTAATACATAAGGTGATGGGCGAGGACCATAGACTTGGATAGACATAACATCTCTGTATCTGTGTCATGACGGCGTCTGTGAGAGTATGTGCAGTGCCATTGAGGCCATCTCCATCTTGAAATAGTACGACTCCAACCGGGTCATCAGGAGGGATCAGCCAATGAAGTTGGAAGTCCCACCCAGTTGACTACATCTAAATGGCGTTGCCCATGCTAACACAGGCTTTTGGCCACTAGAGGACTCCATACAACTCCATGGCCAGGACATAGTTTTGGTTAGGTTTAAATTATACATCAATCCCAATGTGACTTGGATTTAAGGATAAGCGCCTTTTTTTTTTTTTTTTTTTACTTTAGTAGTAGATGTAAGAAGAAACAAGTACCTTTATCTGACAGAGGAACAAACAACAAATGATGTCATGGCAATGTAATATTAAACATGCATCACTGACTAACCCCTTCAAATAAGGCTAATAAAAACAGCTGCAACAACAGCAAAAACATAAGCAGTACAACACTTCACAAATATATCAGTTCACAGCCAGGCAGCTCTCCACAAACTCTTGGGATGCAAGGTCCAGTGCCACAGGGCACAGTTTTGGATAAACAGCCATCCTTGCTTGCCAGAACTGGAGAGGTGACTCTGTAAACATGCCCCCCTCTACCTTTTCCAGGTATTTCCGCAGCTCACACGGGGCACTTAATGCCCTGCCAGGTTGACCCTCCGGCTGGACAGTGACCTCAGACACAATCTTCGATGCGAGGAAGCTATATTTCTGAAGCACTGTGGTCGAGATGATTCATCGTGCTGGCGTCTGTCACACCCTGGCTCTGGGACTCTATATGTTGAGCCAGGGTGTGTTCATTCTATGTGGTTTATTTCTATGTTGGGGGTTCTGGTTTGTTGTTTTCTATGTTTGCCTTAGTGACTCCCAATCAGAGGCAACGAGTGTCAGCTGTTGGCTGGTTGTCTCTGATTGGGAGCCATATTTAACTGTCTGTTTTTCACTTTGTGTTTGTGGGTTTTTTGTTCCGTGTTGGTTGGTGTATGTAACCAGGGACGTCACGGTTTCGTTTTGTTGTTTTGATCGTGTGATCATTTATTAAATAAAGAATATGTTTGCCTTCAACGCTGCGCCTTGGTCTCTCCCTGACGATCGTGACAGAAAAACCCACCATACAAGGACCAAGCAGCGTGTCCAGGAGCAGGCAGACTGGACTTGGGAACAGTGGAGGAAGAGTCTCGACTGGGTCAAGCCTAATGAAGAGCAGAATGGCTGGAGTTGGAGGCAGAAGAGCGAGAGTTGGGCGAAAACTATAGAGGCCTGGCCCACGGGGAGGAGAGACCCCCAGAAATTTTTTAGGGGGGGGCTCACGACGTCGGGGCAGCAGGAGGCCGCGATAGAGCGGTCCAGCGGGTTGGCAGAGGAGGCCGCCAGGTTACGGGGGCCACTGGTCGAAGAGGGGATGGAAGGTGGAGAGGCACGGCGAGAGGTACTGGGGTGTGTTACCAGTCCGGTCCAGCCCGTTCCAGATCCCGGTGTAGGGCCAGTGGTGTGTGTCCCCAGTACGGTCCGGTCTGTTCCTGCTCCCCGCACCGAGTCAGTGGTGCGCTTCGTCAGCCCGGCTCGGCCCGTTCCTGCTCCCCGCACCAAGTCAGTGGTGCGCTTCGTCAGCCCGGCTCGGCCCGTTCCTGCTCCCCGCACCAAGTCAGTGGTGCGCTTCGTCAGCCCAGTCCGGCCTGTCCCTGCTCCACGCACCAAGCCTATGGTGTGCGTCGTCAGCCTGGTAAGGCCCGTTCCTCCTCCACGCACCAAGCCAGTGGTGTGCTTCGTCAGTCCGGTGAGGCCCGTTCCGGCTCCACGCACCAAGCCAGGGGTGCGCATCGTCAGCCCGGTCCGGCCCGTTGCTGCTCCACGCACCAAGCCAGGGGTGCGAGTCGTCAGTCCGGTGAGGCCCGTTCCGGCTCCACGCACCAAGCCAGGGGTGCGTATCGTCTGCCCGGTCCGGCCCGTCGCTGCTCCACGCACCAAGCCAGGGGTGCGCATCGTCAGCCCGGTCCGGCCCGTTGCTGCTCCACGCACCAAGCCAGGGGTGCGAGTCATCAGTCCGGTGAGGCCCGTTCCGGCTCCACGCACCAAGCCAGGGGTGCGTATCGTCAGCCCGGTCCGGCCCGTTGCTGCTCCACGCACCAAGCCAGGGGTGCGCATCGACAGCCAGGTCCGGTCCTTTCCTGCCTCACGCACCAAGCCTGGGGTGCGCGTCGTCAGTCCGGCACAACCCGTGCCTGGGTCATCGGTGCCAAATCAGGTACCGCTTTATTGCTCCCCAACGGAGCTGAAGCTAGCCGCTCCTGCTACGTCCAGGTCAGCTCCAGCCAGCGGGGCCAGACCGGACCAGGGGCGCTATGGGGGGTTTATTGGAGGGTGGTGGGCAAGCCCGGAGCCAGAACCGCCGCCGAGGAGGAGTGCCCACCCAGCCCTCCCCTATTTTTCTCTGGTTGAGGCGCGGTCGCAGTCCGCGCCTTTAGGGGGGGGTACTGTCACACCCTGGCTCTGGGACTCTATATGTTGAGCCAGGGTGTGTTCATTCTATGTGGTTTATTTCTATGTTGGGGGTTCTGGTTTGTTGTTTTCTATGTTTGCCTTAGTGACTCCCAATCAGAGGCAACGAGTGTCAGCTGTTGGCTGGTTGTCTCTGATTGGGAGCCATATTTAACTGTCTGTTTTTCACTTTGTGTTTGTGGGTTTTTGTTCCGTGTTGGTTGGTGTATGTAACCAGGGACGTCACGGTTTCGTTTTGTTGTTTTGATCGTGTGATCATTTATTAAATAAAGAATATGTTTGCCTTCAACGCTGCGCCTTGGTCTCTCCCTGACGATCGTGACAGCGTCTTCCTGGGGTCCTGCTGCTCCATGGCTGTACTCTCTAATTTGCTGAAGTACAAAAGGCTCTGCTTCCCTCATCAGTGGCTCCATCTCCGTTAAGTGAAGTGCCAGACACACACTTAGGTCCATCAGGCAACATGCTGCAGGGGTTGGATCGAAGTTGGCTCCCAGAGGATTCAGTATGTATGCGAAGCGCTGATGCAGTGACTTCAGGAGACCCTGTGCCAACTGTTTTACAACAGTAGTTGACTACAACTGTGCCTCAAGGTTGAGAAGGCACAGCACCACATCAGACAGCAACTGTCTGTCAGTTTGAAGTTGGTCGGTGTGAATTGCGAACGACTCCAGTAACTTAACAAGCTGCTCTAGCTTGGCCCAGTCACGCACCGGGCTCGCCCTCGGATTTCTTCCCTGTTAGCTAGTGATAGTGATGCACAAGCTATGCCTATTTGAAACATCGGCATCTACTGGCAGCATTTACCTGCCAGATTCAGAAGCTCGAAAAACCTATTAGAAAAACAAGCTTGAAAACCATTTGATTTTTACCCAAAGACTAGGAGAAAAAAACTACAACTAAACATAATTTATGTTTTTTATTTATTTTTACATAGTTTTGCAGTCAAAGATAGTTTTAGTATAGTTTTATTTCAGTTTACTAAATAGAATTTTCTAATATTTTTTTATTTTAGTTTCAGTTTTCGTTTACTATAATAACCTTGAAATACACACACAGTTAATGGCGTTAATTATTTTATTGACGTCATTAATCAAATCTCAATTTTCTCACCGCACAGACCCTTTTTAAGCGCACGTGTTTCTGCACAGACCCTATTCCTCACGGACACTGCACTCGGTGGCAGCTGCTGTTATGTAGCGCTGTCTGTCTCAAAAATCCACTATGTGCACAGGTTTGACTTACAGAAAGTTCAATCATAAACACATTCCCAGGCATTTCTTTAGATAACAGCAACAAGATAATTTGTACAGAATAGCTAGCTAGTTATACTAGCGTTAGCTCACTAGCTAACCAAAATAATGTTTACTATGCCATGGCTGAATGCCTCTTGATATAACTAACTTCCCACAACAATTTTAAATCAGAACAGGTCATCCGTTCCGTTTTGTTGTAGGTCTCAGGTCAAAAGATTTATCCCAATTATCCCAATTCTAGTTGTAGCAGTTTGTGGACTAGTGCATGTTGAAGTCGCCTAGGCTAGATCTAATAGCTGTATTAGCCTATATTAACTCAGACTGGGCTGACCTGTTGTTATTGTCTTCTGTGGAATTCATAACATTGTTGGACACGTTTAAATGCTCTTTGTTCTTTGTAGAGCCAGTTATTTTTTCCTGTAGTCAACCATACAATCTGACATTGGGAGAACACTCATTTAGAATGCCTGGCTGAAGCTTTAACAGTACTTGAGTGTGTGTATGTGTGTGTATTTGTGCGCGCGCAAGTGTTAAACTTTAAGAAAATTGATAAGAGGGAGTAGGCCTACTTAAACATTGGGAGCATTTTGTTTCTGATACAGATTATTTTGTGTTTTCGTCCCTTACAATCACAGCATAGTATGCCTGTAACTCAATTAACTGTTTTTAAATAGAAAAATCTTTCAAAAATTTAAAAATTACTATTAATCTCGATTAAATATAGAACATGATGTGATTAATTATTTTTATCGTTTGACAGCACATACATACAAACACACACACAATCAGAGCCCAGCAGCACATGAAATCACACCACACACACTCACATCAGACAGATGCAGTGGAAGATCAGAGGGGAGACAAATGCAGGAAGATAATTCAGAGAGGGAGCCGACCGCACTAGTTCTACCAGAGGGTGGAAACAGAGAGATCGAGAGAGAAAGCTGAGAGTGTTAGCGATGCTAATGATCAAGCTTTTGTTTACTGTTGGCTTCTGACAGGCTGGCAGAGGGAGGGTCGGGTATGTGTGTTTGTGTCGCTGTGTCAATGACGTACAGCGCCTTCAGAAAGTATTCCCCTTGACTTATTGCACATTTTGTGGTGTTACAGCCTGAATTCTAAATATTTTTTTTTTTTATAATCTCACCCATCTACACACAATACCCGATAATGACAAAGTAAAAACGTTTTTAGAATGTTTTGCTAATTTATTGAAAATGAAATACAGAAATATCACATTTACATAAGTATTCACACCCCTGAGTAAATACTTTGTAAAAGCACCTTAGGCGGCGATAAGTCTCTAAGAGTTTTGCACACCTGTATTCTACAATATTTGCCCTTTATTCTTTTTAAAATTCTTCAAGCTCTGTCAAGTTGATTGTTGATCATTGCTAGGCAGCAATTTTCAAGTCTTGCCATAGATTTTCAAGCCGATTTAAGCTAAAACTGTAACTAGGCCACTCAGAAGCATTCAATGTCGTCTCGGTAAGCAACTCCAGTGTAGATTTGGCCTTGTGTTTTAGGTTATTGCCCTGCTGAAAGGTGAATTCATCTCCCAGTGTCTGTTGGAAAACAGACTGAACCAAGTTCTCCTCTAGGATTTTGCCTGTGCTTACAGCTGTATTCTGTTTCTTTTTATCCTAAAAAACTCCCTTGCCGATGACAAACATACCCATAACATGATGCAGCCATGCTTGAAAATATTAAGAGTAGTACTCAGTAGGGATGTGACAAATGGACAATTTTCCTTAACGTTTAAACTGACATTATTTGTAATTTTTTTTTCGGTTTTCCATGAAAATGCTGTGGGAATCAAATCCACAACCCTGGCGTTGCAAGCGCCATGCTCTACCAACTGAGCTACACGGGGCCCTAAGTGTATGTAAACTTCAGACTTCCAACTGTACATACCCCAATCAGAAGCCATGGATTACAGGCAACATCTGCACGGAGATAAAGGGTAGAGCTGCCGCTTTCAAGTAGCGGGACTCTAACCCGGACGCTTATAAGAAATCCTGCTATGCCCTCCGACGAACCATCAAACAGGCAAAGCGTCAATACAGGACTAAGATTGAATCGTACTACACAGGCTCCGATGCTCGTCGGATGTGGCAGGGCTTGCAAACTATTACAGACTCCAAAGGGAAGCACAGCCACAAGCTACCCAGTGACACGAGCCTACCAGACGAGCTAAATGACTTCTATGCACGCTTCGAGGCAAAAACCACTGAAGCATGCATGAGAGCATCAGCTGTTCCGGACAATTGTGTGATCACGCTCTCCGTAGCTGATGTGAGTAAGACCTTTACACAGGTCAACATTCACAAGGCCGCAGGGCCAGACAGATTATCAGGACGTGTACTCCGAGCATGCGCTGACCAACTTGCAAGTGTCTTCACTGACATCTTCAACCTATCCCTGACTGAGTCTGTAATACCAACATGTTTCAAGCAGACCACCATAGTCCCTGTGCCCAAGAACACTAAGTTAACCTGACTAAATGACTAAAGACCCGTAGCACTCATGTCTGTAGCCATGAAGTGCTTTGAAAGGCTCGTCATGGCTCACATCAACACCATTATCCCAGAAACCCTAGACCCACTCCAATTTGCATACCGCCCCAACAGATCCACAGATGATGCAATCTCTATTGCACTCCACACTGCCCTTTCCCACCTGGACAAAAGGAACACCTACGTGAGAATGCTATTCATTGACTACAGCTCAGTGTTCAACACCATAGTGCCCTCAAAGCTCTTCACTAAGCTAAGGACCCTGGGACTAAACACCTCCCTCTGCAACTGGATCCTGGACTCCTAGAGAGAGGGGCAGAAGAAGGCAGAAGCTCATATGTTTCGGTCATCTGCATCTCGCAGTCTTGTCTTGCATGCCTTGTAAATTCACCAAGTGGCCTAAAATATGCCTCTTCCTCTGGTTTTATTTGAATTACACGACTTCCCCAGGCCTTTATAGCCTATCGGCTATAACACGGAAAATAAGATGTTTTGTCATAACTGAACTGTTATTTTAATTAAGTGGGAAAAAAACTAAAAAAACATTGTTTTTCGGTTAGAGATTTTTCTTAACGTTAAGGATCCCAACTTCGTTTTAATGTTTAAATGCTTTATATTATAATTTTATTGTACCACAGCTGATAAAACTAACACTGTAAACGTGTGAAAACATTTGATCAGTCTTATTTCTGGACAGTTGAAAATACAATCTACACAGGACCTTCCTATAGGTTTGCATGGGCAGGAGTTTTGGCTTTCCATGGTGACATCATCATGCGGTAAATTGGTTAACCCTTTACAATCGTGGGAATTGGCCTGGATAGGGCTACATTGGTAGCAATTGAAAGCAATTGCTACCAATTGAAATTGAAAGGGAACAGTTGGGAGATTATGGACAAATTATTAGACCAAAGTTGAGGGCACAACAGTTCACCTGACAAGACTGTTGATTTTATGTGCATTTTAGATCTATTGTACTTTTTGCCGCATTTCTTGATAACGAAATCTGAAAATACCCTGGATACATTCAGTAAAATGATAAGAATATTCCTGGAAAAAGTGGGGTAGGTGCAACATAAGACAAAGAAATGACAAGGGATTGAGTGAGAGGACTAACTGGTCTCTCCATGTGGCCACACATCTCTCAAAAGTGTGCACAGTTCCTAAGTAATTTCAATGCACTTTCATGACTCAAAGAAGAGTCTTCAACTATAATGTGCTTTTTTGAGCTCACCTGCCTCTGCTGTTGAGGAACTAGAGCAAGCACACTTGTAGTTGTTTTGTTTGGAACACAACTCTGCATCCCCGCCATCACACAATTACTGTTGTTGTTTACGCATTCCAAAAATGGCCCATTATAAATCGCAATCTGGGTCAGGTGAGCATAATTTGAAAGCTTGTTCTATTGCCAACATGACAAGTTATATGCCAACAAGCTAAGTTATAAAATACGATTTTACAGTGTTAGGCTTAAATAATATCGCAATTTTGGTGTGCATAGAAAAGAGTCAAGAGTGCATTCAGGTGCGTATTCCATTAACATTTTTCTTCACAATAGCCACCAAACATAGGCTCATTCTGTTCAGAACAAGCCAGGGTATGACGCCATGTCATCTTGTACCTGTACATCAAACATAGTGATAATAAATGTTGACACTGTATATGACAAGAGTTTTATGATATGAAAATATGAAGTACACATTTGGACTCAACGGGTGTTGGCTTGCTTGAATGACATCAAAGCGGTATTTATTGTAATCCTCAACGTCTCATCTTTCAAAATACATTGAGTCCTCTTAATTTATAGCATTTCCCTCACTCAGACAACTCAGTAGCCCAATTAGTGAATTTTATGTTGTTGCTAAAAAGCTATTTTTGCCCATTTGAATGGAAATCTGATGTAGTTATGAAAGTTCAATCAGTAAGGCTGGTCTGAATGGATCGTCACTTTTCATTAATCTAGTAAACTCATAATTCACATTAATTCCTATCTCACTCATCAGCATAGCAGTTATTTATATGGTAGTGGTTATAATGTTACCCCGTCAGCATGGCAGGTACAGTATCTGTGACCAACAGATGCATATCTGTATTCCCAGTCATGTGAAATCCATAGATTAGGGCCCAATACATTTATTTCAATTGACTGATTTCCTTATATGAACTCTAACGATGTAAAATCGTTGAAATTGTTGCATGTTGCGTTTATATTGTTGTTCAGTGTATTTCGAGTAGGATAGTAGCCGACACGAGAAATAACTTGTAATACTGGTAGTAACCATCTGGATGTCACCGTGATACAGTCTACTGCAACACAACAACACGGGCCTTTGCTCCCGCTTGTCCCAGTATGGAAAGGGATGTAGCTAGATAGTGTAGCCAATATCAGGCCAGGGTGACAGCTAAGGCACATTTATTGCAGTGATTTCCACCAAAATTGTACAACTACAAGATTAACGTCTACATTTTTGTAAAATAAAAGACAAACAATTACTCAAATAAAAAC